ATACTTCCTCAGCTTGGCTTAGTGGTTTTGTTTTTCCATCTGGTCCAACTTCTTGACACACAACATGTGGTTTGATTGTTGTCTTGGACACATGATCAATATTTCTCTCCAAAGGAGGAAATTCTTCCTTATAGGATGTTGTTGAGAATATTACTTTATTATCTTTTATTTTAAATTAAGTATTAAGAGATTTTATTATCTTTTTAAGAGAGAAGGTAAAAAGATATTAGGTTATTATTTTGATTTAGGCAGCTATGATTGAGATATTTTTAATATTTGATATTTTGTAATATTTTTACTCTATATATACATAGAGTATATGAATAGAAACACATACCCACATGATATATCAGAAATACACATACACAAAACTCTAAAAAATCTCAACAGTGGTATCAAAGCTTTGGTTTGATACAATGGAAGGAGAAAGAAATTTTTCACAAGTCGTTATTTCAGTTTTTGATGGCGAAAGTTATGACTTATGGGCTGTGAGAATGCAATCATATCTTGAAGGATTGAATGTATGGAAAGTTGTAGAAGAAGATTATATTATTGATCCACTACTTGAAAATCTCACCATAGCTGAAATGAAATTTCACAGAGAAATAAAAACGAGGAAGACAAAAGCTAAATCATGTTTGTTTGCTGGTGTTTCACAAATGATCTCACCAAAATCATGATGCTAAAGTCACCCAAAGAAATTTGGGATTATTTGAAAGATCAATATGAAGGGGATGAGAAAATTTGAGGTATGAAAGTTCTAAATTTGATAAGGGAATTTGAGATACAAAAGATGCAAGAGTCTCAAACAATTAATGAATACTCAAACAAATTGTTGGGTATTGCTAACAAAATAAAATTGTTGGGCAAAGAATTTTCTGATTTCAGAATAGTTGAGAAAATTTTGGTAACTGTGCCAGAGAGATATGAAGTATTTATTGCTTCATTGGAAAATACAAAGTATTTATTGCTTTAATATCTATTTATTTAAATTTTGGTTAAAATTAGGTATTAAGAGATTTTATTATCTTTTAAGAGAGAAGGTAAAAAGATATTAAGTTATTATTTTGATTTAGGCAGTTATGATTGAGATATTATTAATATTTGATATTTTGTAATATTTTTACTCTATATATACATAGAGTACATGAATAGAAACATATCCACATGATATATCAGAAATACACGTACACAGAACTCTAAAAATTCCCAACAGATGTTGGGTTAATCATCATGTACAAAATAAAAGGAGTAACAAGAGGTGGCATGACAAAGGTTATGCAATTTTCTTGTCTCTAAAAGAGGAGACCTTCTTCTTCAAAGATCTCTACATATCTTTTGTATTTCCACAGAGGGTCTGGTTTCTCTTGTTGATGAAGTCCAATCCAAGGACCTCTTCTAGGTTCAAACCTTCCGAGTTCTATCATCGTCATCATCAATAGTATCTTTAGTGTGATCACAATAGTCACAGTCGAAATCACACATATCTGATAGGATATATGCTAGCAACAGGGATTTTTGCCCTCCTTAGTGATAGATGTTATCATATCATGGATTGGAATATGGAGGTGTTTGAGCTGGGAACATCTTTAGGGTTCTTGAAGATGGTTTTAACAGTACCATCTACAAATCTTCTGAAAGTGACTTCAGTAAACTGGATTGGTTTTTAATTGATATGAAGCTTCTCATAATTTGTGACCCACTGCATAGGGATAAGCTTTTGCAGTTCTTATTATGAAATGTTTATGGGGATCTGGACTATGTAAGATGTATCATCTTGGTTATTAGCCAAGACAAATAGTGTTTCATCTTTGCATGAGGGCAATGCAAGATTTATGACATGATCTTGCAGTTTGTAGATTATCTGACGATGAAGGGTGACTGACAGAGTATCAGCTACTTGTTCGACTCCTATGATCTAAATTTGAACCTTCAATCATTGAGAGATGGTGGGATCTTTCAAACTAACATTAAAGTTAGGAAAGATGGTCAGAACTACACTTCCGACATGGAGAGTAGTTAACACAGTACTGATTACAACATGTTCATAGTGCAGATAATTGGACTTTAGAAGAGAAACTCTGACAAATACAGGTAATTCACATCTTCCATGAAGAGAGAGAGGACTAGTCTTATAGCCTCGTAGTGGAGATGAGTGTATCTTTTATTTTGCCAATATCTAATGAGATCTTTGGGAATCTCAATATTGAGGTATTATTCTTCTATGGTGGAGGCTAAGACACATTAATCCATCTAGAGGACTAGACGTATTCCTTGATATGGGGTCTTTTGGTGAAGATGAGTCTAGAAATAGACCTAAGAGTAGATATTTGTCTTTTGAAGATATCATAGGGACTTAAGAACGGACTATATGTTTCAGAGATTTGAGCATCTTCAGGGACATGAAAATATTCGATGAGATTTTCTATTTTTGATGAAAGGGTTTTAGAGATATTTTTTGGAAGAGAAAGAGTAGAATTTAACAAAATGGGACCAGACTCTGTTGGTGTTTGATTATCTATTTCTAACAAGTTCTCTTACTTGTTATATGTATATAATTATATATATATATATATAATATTTTTAAAATATTTATTAATAATTAGATGAAATATGTGAAATTAATATTTTAATTATATAATTTTTTATTTTTAAAAGTATATAATAAATTGATATTTTTAATTAATAAAGTTTGTAAGAGGATTGAGATTAATAATTAATCTTTATAAAAAACCTATTATCTATAATATGTATATTTTTATATAGACAAAATTTTACTTATAATTTGTAATTTTACACATATTTTTTTCTATTTTATAATTAATATACAATTCTCACTTTTCATTTTTTATTATTAATATAAAAATATGTTAATTATATATATATATATATATATATATATATATATATATATATATATATATATATTATTACTTGCAAACTAATTATATTTTTATTTTAATTTAATTATAAATTATAATTTTCCAATATAATTTTAGAAATAAAACACTCTTATTATTAAAATATATGATTTTAACTAATCGATTATATTTTAATGATTTTAACTAATATATAACTAATCTAATGGACCAAGCAATCACATAAAAGTCTTTATTACCGTTTGAATCCAAAGTCTGCTTTAATTTTTTTTTCTCTAAGCAATTTTCAAGTATAAAATAACAGCAGTGATCTGTGCATAAAGAGCATAATAAATTCTCAAGCTGAAAAATTACCTTAACACTCTCAAATCCCACATAACACCATTGGATAAATTTAGGGAGACAACAACATTGGTCTTGACCAGATTAAGTATAATTAAGTAAGTTAAAGGCAAGTTGGATAGATGCTTATTTTTTTTCTTTTTTAAATAGTCTAAATAATATAAATTATAAGATTAACAAGAATGTCCTTAGTTTAAGAACTAAATAATTTTAAAAAATAAATAAATTGTGGACAATCGAAGAAACCAAACAGGAAAGATAGAGTACCTCTGAAGTCAATTCCAAAATTTTTTTAGCATTAATACAAACAAACAAAAATTTCGAAATTCCACTTGCTAATGACAGTGGCTACACCAAGAACAGATAGATATGCGCACCTCTCAACCACATTTTCACTTTAGTATCCATTCATTATATTTATTTTTGTTTCTAATATAAATAGAATTCTATATCTATAAAATAATACTAAATATTTTCATTAAATTAGAAGTTTGTTAATTTGGAATCTTATAATGGGTAAATGTAGTAAATCAGAATTTTTTTCTAAATTTTGTTATTATATTTACTTTTATTCGTAGGATTTTTTATTTTTTCTTTAAATTTGGGGAATTATCTCTACCTCGATTAAATTTGTTTAATTTCATTCTTTATTTTTAATTATATATATATATATATATATATATATATGGTAAGAATATATTTTTTTTTTTAGAAAAGAGAAAGGAAATGAACCTTATCACAAAAAAAAAGTGATTAGAGAGAAAAAAAAGAAAAAAAATTAAAACAGAAATATCATTTGATTCTTTAATCAAAGAAAAAAAAGGCAGAGTTTCGTTGTTAAACAATATCGAATAGAATAAATCAAAATAAATATTTATTTTTAATAAATTTATTAATTTGTTTATCCGTAATTTTTTTATTAATATACTTATCATTTTCATATCTTGTATTTAAATTACTTTTAATACTTTATTATGTTTTTTAAAAATAAATATAATTAAAAATAAGAATATAATTGATAATTAAGTAATTAATACATTTTTAAATTTTATAATCATACGTATCTTGAAACAAATTTTTGTCGAAAAAACACACTCATTTAAGAAATAATACCTTATTTAGTTAAAGGTTAAAACTAGTGTTGATCTCGAAAATTATCCTATTTCTTCAAACTGGTACTGTTATGAATAGGCCGTTTGATGGAATCAGTAAATGCGTATATTTGTTCGACATGAGAGTTCAAACTGACCGAGACAAACACATTAATTATAGAAACATTTGTGTATCGAAATTGAAAAAATCCTTGGCACAAAAAAATTGCAAATATAATCTGAAGTCTTAACTACAGCACATATTCTAACAGTGCTGGGAACACAAGGATCATGATAGATAAAATATGATTTTAAGGTTGGGTACAGAAAAAAAAAAAAAAAAAAAAAAGATAAATTATTAGATAAAAGGCCCACCAAAATTTACATGAAATTTATACAGATAAATATATAGCGATTATGTCCTCCATATATCAATAAGAATTCAAAAATAGGAACCTCCCCTCCAACAATAATAATTAATAATAATAAATAATCAAAGAAACACAAGTAAATATATAATAGAAACACATGATCACGATTAACATTAAAACTCTCCTCTTCTAGCAGCAAAGTTGATCTTTAAACACCTTGGGTAGTAGAAGTGAATGCAAGAACGTAATTGCTAGCAATCAATGTAGGTGCTGCTCATCTTCTTCCCCCTTGTGGATGTACATATCAGTTGAGATTCTCAATCAGAAGAGGAGGGCTTGACCTTCAAGCGGTACAAGAGTTTCTTCTTCTTAGAGCTTTGGTTGTCAATAGTGAGAACCACTTTCCCAGGTTCACCAATTTTATAATTGTTGGAAAGCACCGGTTCTTCTGATGAAGCAACCTTTCTAGCCTTCTGGATGATCACAGTATAGCTTCCCTCTGAATTTGGCACAAACTCTGCACCATAGCTTACGTCCCACCCTATTACTCTGAGTTCCCAAGACAGTAGGGAGTTCTGCATGATCCCAAGTGAAACAAAATTTCAATGCATTACCAAAAGGTTATCAAGGAAAATATGCTCAACAAACAGCAGTTCTCTACCTATTCTCACATGAAGTCATATAGTAATGGAATAGATATAGAGTAGGATTCAATTACTTATCTAACCATTTGAACTGCATCTACACAAGGTTTTCATTTATAAATTAATCCATTGATCATATAACTACATGGATTTTAATGTGGGGAGGTTGAGCTTAACCATTAATTCAACTCAACTCCATAAATAAATGAAATGTACACATCATCTTATCAGTTCTATTCATTGAGTTTAATAAATCATCATTGGATGCTCTAAAGATTCAACATGAACTTCTCTCACCAGTTCCAACGGGCTAAATTTTTAGTAGCTGACAAATATTAGTAACCTATTTGAGCTTGCTTTGTAGCCAAGATGATAGAAAACAAATTTTAATAAACAAATTTTAATTGGTAATGGAAAAGGATTTTGACTCGTAGCTACATTTAGAACTGAAATAAAATAAGAACACTTATGTTTCCAATTCCAGTACGATCTTTTTATTTGTTATTCTTCATTTACTAATTATGGTGCATTGCCCGAGACATCTCATCTCGGGGCATGGGTCTGCCTAAATCTGTCGCATGAAGCAGAGAAAAACTAAAGGGATAATATTAAATCTAGAGAACTGAGGAATCCTAGGTAAGATTCCGCATTCCAATGCTTCTTTCATTGGATTCCCCCTCAATCGAGATCAATCAATTCCGACAAAAAAAATAACACAGAGGAAAGAGACTAAACCCACCTCAGTAACTGGAAACTCCACAGTATGTTTTGCTGCTGGCCTCACTGTAATTTCTGTAACAGCATCGGAAATTCCGAATTCCCCATCTTTGCTTAGTCCACCATACTTGACCGGAAGTTGCTCCGCAGCAATGTATCTGAAATATCCATATAACAAATTAAGCTACATATTGGGATAAAAGACAAGACAAACTGAAAAGACATGAAACAAGAAAAATCGTGCGTTCACCTCAGAAGAGTCTCAGCTGATTTGGAAGGGCCAGCAAAGACAAACTTGCTTTTGGTTCTCTGAGTAAGAAAAGGGCTTATCATCCTGTTCACTGCCAAATACCACCATGGCACATTGATAAACACCTGCGCCAACAAAACAAAGAATAATATCAAGAAAACAGAACACGCATTGGAATGCCCTAGATAAGTGTTAAAATTGAAGGGAAACAAATAATGTACGACTGAATCAAGGTTTTAAATGCAATTTCATATACAATGTAAAATGCTTGTTTTTGTCTCTATATCTATGGCTCTATTCGCAGCATTTGTCACAATTTCAAGTAGGCCAAACCGTAGATGTAGCACTCTAGTTGTTTTCCACCTTATTTTTCTAGTCACAATTGAAGTTTGAATTGGGATATCAGAGATTCCATTAAAACTTTAATTTTATTGAGAGAATTGTACAAAAACTATATATAAGTTTTCTTCTTTCAAATATTGTGAAAAGGGTCTTGTGTTTTTGCCAAGACCTCACTCACCACATTTATCTGCAATACCATTATAAAGATTGCTAAGAGAATGTGACTGGAATTTAAACAATAGATTAAATTCAAGAGGGCATGCATGCAGTACCTGTTTGGCTACAAACTCAGGATAGTTATCCTGAAGCAACTGCAGGGCCTGTTTGGTAGCCTGTCTAAGCTCCCACTTGGCAGGTCCAGGAGAGTTCTTGAGATCATTGACTTGAACAATGGTGCTTATCCCTCCAGGGGTAAAATTAAGCCTCCTGATACTCTTCTCCAGGAACTGAATCCTCCACCTGAGGAATCTGTGCCTCTTCTCCTCATCAGAGAAACTCTTCTTGTACAATTCCTTGTTCTGAAACTCCCCATAGATGTTATAACACACAGGGTGACCCTCCTTGTCAAACCCATGCATGTACACCGCCTTCTCCAAATCATCCCCCAAATCCTCCTCCAACAACTCCTCCATCCCGAACTCCTTCCTCCACCGAATCGTCCCCTTTATCATCGCAAACGCATCCTTCACCTTGAAGTCCCTCGCACGAAGAAACTTCAGCAGAATCACATCGCTCCTTTCATCAGCAAGAAGCGGCACTCCCCAAATCGAAATCTCTTCGGGGGAAGCAGAAGCAGCTTCCACCTTCGCTTCTTCCTCTAACACAGTCACAGATACAACGCTCTCCTCAATCGCCTCTACCGTTTTGGCTCCATCCTCCACAACAGAAGCAGCATCAGTAACAGCCACTTTTTCGTCAACAACCTCAGTTTCCTTCACTTCCGCAGCTTCTTTTTCTGTCGATTCTACCACCTCAGCAGCATCAGCATGAACAACGTGTTCCTTCTCTTCCTCCACGCGCTTTTGTTCTTCCTTGTAGTCGGTGGCATCTTCGGATTTTTCATCTTTGGGAGGGTGGTTACTCTGAGGCGCAGAAAACTCGTGTTTGTTGAGTGCTTCCTGAATGAGTTGTTTGAGTTCTTGCAATGCCTTTTTCTCGGTTTCCGGTAGGTCGGAGACAATGGTGCTTTCTTCCTTGAACGAACCTGATTCCGGAATGTTATCTTTGGAAACCTCCGTCTCAGTTTCAGGAATGTTCTCCTTCTCCGGGGATGCTTTTTCTTCTTCTTGGGGTGCGTCTTTCTCCAGGGAAACAACAACGTTGTTGTCTGGTTTCTCAGTAGGTGCCACGTCAGCGACCGCCACTTCCTCTTGAGTTGTGCTTGTCTTTGAAACTTCTTCAGCCATGGTTAACTCAACACTCAAACAGTGACACTTTCTATGATCTTGATCTAAATGAACAAAGTTTGAAAGACAAAGGAGAATTTGATGTGACGAGAGTGAGACATGGGAAGAGGGTGTTATAGAGAGAGACCAGCTGTGCCAGCTAGGAAAGTGGGCCCAGGCCCGGATGTAACGGTGTTATTACACTCTGTACTGAACATAGTGGGCCTACCTGTAACTTTGGGGCCGAAGCAGTTGGAATTGCAAAGCAACGGTCCCATTCGTTGTTAGAATGTTTATTGAATTGAAAAATGAAAAAAAGGGTTTGAGAAGGTTAGTTAATTGAGATTATTGTTCAGTGTTTTGTACCTTGGATTGCTTTCAAATGCAACTAAGCCATTCAACAGTTTAGGTTTGGCCCACATTGAACATCCTTCACCTCTGTTTTGCAATTCTTGTATACAAAATCTGCCAAAGGGACTAACAATGGAATCAATGTTTATGTTAACAATCATTAGTATTACCTTGTTTAGTTTGAAATTTGAATTCAATAATAGCATTAGTTGTATCAATTTTTTTAATAACTTGCTTAAAGAACGGTGTTAAGGAATTGTTTGGCTTTTAAATTTCATCTGGTTCCACCATCCATTGTTTTTATTTTCCTGTGTACTGGTAGGTTGGTGATGTTTTCCCTTTATGCTTGTACTGGTAATCTTAGTTTGCATTTCATTTTTGTTTGTTCCTCTAATTATTTTTTCAATTTTCTTGTCTTCTTATGCGTGCCAACTGGTTTGAAAACACTCAAATATGATCTTATATACAACCTAAGTTTAACTAGTTAAGCTCTAACATTCAATGAAATTTATTTTTTCAAAATATTAATTTCTTTTATACACAAAATAAAGTCATAACTTCATTTCATCTATCCAGAATATCTCTGAGATTCATTAGAAAGGGTTTGTGAATTTTTTATTTATTTAATAACAATAGGATATCTTGTAATCTGGTAATTCAATAAATAATTCTTGTACACAATATATAACGCTTAACTGGAATAAATTATGAAAACTGAATTGAGTGAATTCAATTACATAAAAGTAAAAAGAGTAAAATAGAAAATTTTCATTATTATTTAATAATAAACAACTATGGTATTTAAAAAAATATTATTAGAGATAAAATTGAATCAGGATGACCGTGTAAATTATTATAATTTGTTAGAATTTATTTTTTTTATGGAGATGCATTCATACTGGTAAAATGTATAATTTATTTTCTCATTTATATTTTTATTATATTGTTTACGGTGAAAATTTTGGTTGTTTTCGATTTCCTAAAGACTTAGATTTTAACCAAATTTTAATCATGTAAATTATTTTTATTTAGGCTAGCAAACACTTTTCCAATCAAAATATATATATAAATCGAAAGTCTCACGATATCGAGCCAAATGGAAAATAAAGCATGAGTATTAGAAATGCGGAAAACGTAACAAAGCATACATACTGAAATCGAAAAGTTCTCTTTTTGTTTTTTGTATTTTTATTTAAGAAACTCGAGAATATGAAGATTAACAACAGAAGTAAAATAAGCAGTAAAAAGACGTCGAAGCAAAAAGTCATACATAAAATTAAATTGTGTTAAGAGTAAATGACATAAAATTAAATTGCACTAAAAGTAATCGAAATCACTGGAAAGTACAGGACAGTAAACATCGAAAATGACAAATAACATGTAAGTAGATAAATTACCGGGAAAGTAAAGAAAACTTTAAAAGAATATCGAGACAATGTAACATAGAATCTTAAATTGCATAAGTGTAAATGGTAATGAATTGAAATAACATGAAAGTACATACGTAAAATTAAATTGCGTTTAAGATAAAGTACCAGGGAAAGTACAGAAAGCGGTAACAAAACTCAATGAAAATGGAAATCCAAATCGCCAGAAACTTCATGATTTGTCGTTCTCCGATAGACTTGCACAATTGATTTTTGTTCTCTCTGCCAATTTCCCTGTCCTTCTTCATGCTTCGCTCTATTTATATATTTTCTTTAACGTAACCTCCTACGAACGGTTAAAAAACCGCTACCATGTTCCATGTGCACGTTAACTGTCTCTCGATTTCTACCTTAGCCACGATTTAGAAAACTGCTACCACGTTCCATGTGCACATTAACTATCCCTCGATTTTTACCTTAGCCACGGTTTAGAAAACCGCTACCACGTTCCACGTGCATGATAACCGCTCCCTCGATCTCGACTTTAGCCATCGTGTATTTAAACTGTTTCTGACTTCCCATATAACTTCATACTCAATACCTATAATCGATCTTTTACTTCCCAATCATGTTCACCCAATTTCTTGTCTTCTTTTGATTCTGATTCTTGATTTTTCCCCAACATACTGTCATCAAATATCGATTTTTCCCACCAACACCAAACACTGAGGGGCAAGTTCACAATGGAACTATGCCTTTAATATCGACAACTATGAGTGCGTCAATTCCAGTGAATAATGAACAAAGCCCAGGGACATTAGTAAATACTCAATTAATAGGGTCTGGGACTATAATGTCAAACAACATGCAAACTACGGGAAGCCCCATAACAACATACACAGGTCCATATATGAGTGTAAGACCACCTCGTTTTACGTTTAACAATATGAATGGGGCTGGTACTTCAGTACAACGAAGTACGAGACCTAACCTAGGAATGCCCTAAAACTTAGGAACATTTCAAACCTTAGGAATGCCTCAGAATTTTGGGGTATCCCCGAATTTAAGTATACCCCAAAATTTAGTAACACCTCAGAATCCAGGGAATGCGCAAAGTTTAGGAACACAACAGATGTCTCCAATTCCAAACCAGGATAACAGAGCAAATCTGGATCATGGGAGATATGAATTCGATAGATATTATCATCGATCCAATTTCGATGCTATCGAAAATGCTAGTACTGGAATTTCCAATAATTCATTAGGGGTATTTCGACAACAGATGGATGAAAGTAATTTCGAGATGGTTAATGTGTTGTCACAACAGTTGACTACAATATTAAATTCATTAATTCAAAACATTACTAATAGTTTTGAGATATTAGTAGATCAAATGACACGTATCGGGGATGCATTGGTCATATCCTGACAAACGAGGGTTGAGAATAATGTCAATCAGGATAATAACCAAAACGTCAATATTAATCCCCCCTTATTTATTAAGGAGAAATCGAAATGCTGATCAATATCTGCATGTGAGGAATGATACTCACGGAAATTTCAATGGGGGGTTTCAAAATGTGTATAATAATCAGAATAACATGTAATACAATCATGTGTTAGGTCAAAGGATGAACCCCCAAGGAGTGGAATTAAGACCACTTAACCAACCATACTTTGTTTCTCTGTTTCCAAATATGATTCTCGAGACAGAATTACCTCGAGGATATAAAGTACCCAAGTTCATCAAATTTTCCAGAGAAATCGGTGAATCCACTATCGAGCATGTGGCACGATATCAAATCGAATGTGGAGATATAGTTATGAATGAGGAATTAAAAATGAAATACTTCCCTAGTTCATTAACAAAGAATGTCTTCACTTGGTTTACTACTTTGCCACCTAACTCGATATATAATTGGCTGCAGTTGGAAAGGAATTTTCATGAGCAATTTTTTAGGGGAGAAACTCAAGTAAGTCTCATCGACTTAATGAATATTAAGAGATATAATCATGAGAGTATAGATTATTATTTGAATAGATTTAGGCAAATGAAATCGAGATGTTTCACTCAGATTCCCGAATTTGAATTAGTTAGAATGGCCTCTCTTGGTTTAGAATTCTCGATTAGAAAGAAAATGGTTAATTTACCATTGAATTACATGGCTCAATTAGCCGATAAAGTAAGAAGAGTGGAACAAATCGAGTATGAGAAGGAAAGATATAAGAAATTTGAGAAACCTATAAAGAAAGATAGGGTAGCGTACATAAATGACATGTACGAAGAAAATCCTAAGACAAAAGTAGAAAATGAAGAATTTATCGATGAGAAAGTAAACATGACAGAGCTCAAAGTGAGAGCTCCATATATTTGTAAATTGTTGCAGAAAAACAAGGTAAAAGACAAAATGGCGAATCGAACATATACTTTCGATGTAACAAAAGCAGATAAAATCTTCGATATTTTATTGAAAGATAAATAGATTAAATTGAGTGATGATCATAAATTGTCTTCTTTAGATCAAAGAAATGGTCGAAAATATTGCAAATTTCATAATATTTATGGGCATTGGACTAATAATTGTATACATCTCAGGAACACGATTCAAGATGCAATCGACCAAGGAAGTTTAAAGTTTGAGGAAATGTCGATGAAAGTGGATACTAGTCCATTTGAATTTCAGGTGGGTTATGTTGAGTCTCAGTCAGGCATTACTGAAGATGCTCGATTGGTAAATTCAGCCTTCATAGGTATGGTCGATATTACTGAAGACATTGATCCTAGACATGTCAAAATGGACATGTCAGAGGAAGACATAGAGTTCGATTTAAATGAGTTCGAGAAAAAATTCGAGAGAGAAATTTATCCTCAAACAGAGGATTCGTTCGTCAAATTTTTAACCAGAAAGAAAGAGAAGGATGAAGACGTGGCATTATGTCCACGATGCAGCGCGGTGTTTGACAGATCGGCTGCTAAAGCCTTCAGGGAAGAGCAAATAAAAAAATAGAGACACAGCAGAAGAGTTGCAATGTTAAAGGAAAATAAAAAGTCCAGATGACAGTGGGAGAAAATCAGCAATCTGTTGGTTCTTGTTCTAGTACAAATCAAATGTGATGGGTCAAGAAGGAGACATATTCTCCTCGGGGAGGAAGAAGTAGATTTCAAAATAATGATGTGTTCGATAGACTTTCATGCAACGAAGGATCGAATACTGGATTCCCCACGTTCCAAAGGAGATTTCGAGGAAAACCCTAGAAGAGAGGAGGAAGGCTCCAACCTTATTGGGGAAGGTTCAATAATTA